AATTGTCCCTTTTATTTCCGTGTTTCCAATGCAGGAGAGAAGATCATGTGCCGAGATCCCACAATAGGTGTTGGGGAGCCTGGGAAAGTCATCCAGAAACTATGCCAGTTCTCAAACGTACCCAGCGGCCCTGGAGGTCCCACTGGCGGGGTCATGACTTACAAATGTGTAGGCTCCCACTGGGAGGTGAAGAAAAATGACTGCATCTCTGCCCCAATAAATAGTCTGCTCCAGCTGGCCAAGGTGATCCTTAAATCTTTGACTCCGAGCTCTTGGTGGGGAGGTGGGTCTAGCTTATCCATATTTTTCAGCAAATGGGCCTCGGGCTGGTTTGTGTTGCTCCCAAAGCTACTTTTATTTATTTATTTCCAAAGAAGACGCAATCCTAGAAATGCTTTACATTTTACTTAAGTACAAATGTGGAGACAACAAAATATGTATTCTACTCTGGGACCAGCTGTATACCTTGACCTTGACTTCTCAGTGCCTTGTTCCTATTACCTCCAAGGTGCAGGTGGAATTATCTTCTCTTACCACTCTCCTTTGAATAATCTGGGTATCAAGCAAGTAGCTCTAATCTTTTCACAAGGAGGAGATACATAAAAAATACGGTTCACCAGTGCAAAAAAAAAAAAAATATATGCTTGGGCTTTATGCTTCTATAGGTCTGAGATTTCTTCCATCTTTAGAGGGAACCTTTAGTTATGAATGATGGTACTAGCCTGCCTCTCTTACCTAGAAGAGAGGTTCCTGCCACGTACTAGGGGAGAATTCCTTTCTTTTCTTCGTGGGAAAATAAATAAATGTTACCTCATACTTAAGTTGTCGAGAGTAGGGACTCCTAAAATGCCATGAGTTATAATAAATAAATACTGAAGAGGCAACTGGTAGACTTATAGTTAATGACATTGTTAGACAAGTGGTTCCAAATTCTCTCACCCTTGGAAGAAGAATTAAGGAAAAGGAGTGATATTGATTTGTGTCTCATCTAATTATCTTCTGTCTCTCCTCTTGTCTTACACTAAATTCATTAAGATACCTACTAGGTGCAAAGCATTATTGTAGTTGCTAGAGGACATAATCCAGTTGGGTAGTTCTATACACATTGATTTTGCTTAGGATAATCAGGAAGCTCTGCTTGAAAAACTTGGCCTCTGAGTTGGACCTTGATGAGGATGCATCAGTGATATGAATTTTCCTAATTGAGAAAGATAGAAATACTATAATTTGAACTCAACGTTGGGCCCTGGTCCCAACTCTAGATACCTAGATACATTTTCAGTGGAAACGGGGCCTGTTGGTCTATCAGATTTATCCATTCAACATATATTTATTGAATACCTACTATGTGCCAATTTATGACTTATACTATGTTAGGCATTATACTATATCAGATGGAATATAACATGTTTCAAATTGCTAAGGAGCTTATAATTTAATTGGAGAGATATTGAAATTAAAACACAAGCTGACATTGGTAGAAATGTCATGAATGTGAAGTATGTTAAATAACAAACACTTACAGGGGCGTCTGGGTGGCGCAGTCCATTAAGCATCTGACTCTTGGTTTTGGCTCTGGCCCTGATCTCAGGGTCGTAAGACTGAGCCCCACATTGGGCTCCACACTGAGCACGAGGCTGCTTGAGATTCTCTCTCTCCCTTTGCCCCTCCAGCTCGTGCTCTCTCTCTCTCTCTCTAAAATAAATAAGTAAATCTTATTAAAAAAAAATAACAAACATTTAGGCAGTCAGAGGAAGAAACTCCGATGTGTTGGAATACTCATCAAAGTTCTTTATGGAGGAGGTCGAATTGGAGTTCATTCTCTAATTTTAAGTGGGGATTAGATAATTAGGAAACAGAAGTGGGATCATTATAGATAGGGTGACCATATAATTTGCCATCCGAACCGGGACACATTTTGAAAATAAAAGAGGGTGCTAGTAATAATGACATTGGGCCAGCAGATATAAAGCAGAACTGTCCCAGGAAGATTGGGATGGAGAGTCACCCTTCTAACGGTCAGCAAAGTAAGTGATGAGAAAAAGCAGAGTAGCAAATGTGCTTCCATACAGACCATCAAGGGATAATTTTACTCAATTTTAATCTAGTTCTCTAGGAATCACATCTCCTTTCCTTTTCCTTTAGCCATCAGATTGATATGTGTTTTACTATTCCCCTTCTACCTGTGAAGTCTTATTCTATTCTGAATAGCACACAGATTAAACGAAGAGATAAGTTATCTTATAGGATATATTTATAGGAGTGGAGAAAAAAAAGAAACCACAGATGTAAGAAATTTTCCTCATGGGTAGATCAACAGGATTTGATGACATACTGACTGGCAAGTTTTTTGTTTGTCTGTTTGTGTTGGCTTTTGTTTTCCTAGGATTTGATCAAGAGCCCCTGTCAGGATACGAAGCTCCCCACATACCTGAAGGATCTTTCTGTCAGCACAGGCAAGGTGAAACATGAAGTCAGCTCATTTCCTGGGAGCCTGGGAGCCATCATTAACATCCTAGATTTGCTCTCAACAGTTCCAACCCAAGTGAATTCAGAAATGATGACGGTGAGTTGGTTTAGACCTTACAGGAGCTTTGGGTCTCCTCTTTTCACCCGTTGGGACTTGTAGTCAAAAAACGCAACTCGTCCCCATTGCAGCTCCTTCTTTGTCTTCTCTAGAGCAATACTCTGGATTTTAGGGTCACATAGCATGCTTTGTGCTTTGTTAGCTATGGCTTTTAAGGTCACAGAGGGTGTTTCTAATATTCATTTGGGGATCTTAAAAAGATTTATTTAGTGAATCTCCGTCTTAGTTTCTTCATTAAAGTAGAATGTATTCTTACCTGCTTTCTAAGAAAACCAGGAATGAAAGGTTTTCAGAATATTATGTATAAGGTGGGATTCTCAGTGGTCTAGCACTAACCATGAACTCTGAGGCACTCAGCGTTCTGAGAGGAGTCACCCAGAATTCAAATGAAGAGTTCAAATGATGAGACTTTAATGAAAGGATATTTACAGAGGTCAAGCCAGGGATAAAAAAGAAAAAAAAAAAAAATAGAAGCCAGTACTACCCTGAGGACTAAAGGGGAAAGGAGAGGAAAGAATGTACCTACAGCAGAGGGAGAATGAAACCTTGGAGAAGGGATTGCTAGCAGGAGCAACAGAACTATCACCGAAGATGTGCTGAAGATGGTATCTGGGTATAGGGGGTGAGGGGATGACTGCGGTGGGTCATAGGAAAATATATTTCAACTTCTTTCTCCTCCTACCCTCTCATCTCCTGCCAGTGCTTCCCAGTGGCCAAACACAGGCAGAGGCTCCTGGCAAGCAGCTTGGGGAACAAGAGTCCAAGGAGGTTATGTGGACCTCCTATGGCGAGTGTAACAGATTCCCATACTGTGGGTGGCTTACCATGACAGGAACTTATTCTCTCATGGTTCTCAAAGCTAGAAGTCTGAAATCAAGGTGTCTGCCAGACCACGTTCCTTCCCAAGTCTCCAGGGGAGACTTTCTCTGCCTTGTCCAGCTCCATGTAGTTCCAGCACTCTTTGGCTTGTGGCTGCCTCAGGACACCCTCTGCCTTTGTCTTCACGTGGTCTCCTCCTCTCCATTTATCTTCTCCTCTTCTGTCCTTCATAAGGATACTTGACATTGGATTTAGGGCCCACCTAGGTAATCTGGGATGATTTCCTCTCAAGATCCTTAACTTAATTACAACTACAAAGACCTTTTCTCAAAATAAGGTCACATTCACAGGGTCTGGGTATTAGGACATGTTCTTTTGGGGACCACCATTCAAGAAACTACAAGGCTCATAGTTTCAGATTGAACAAAACAAGGCAAAGGAGGGCAAAGAAATTACAATGAGAGAAAGTCCAAATGGAAAATGAGAAGCCCAAGTTTATGGGAGAGAAAATCAAAATGTTTAGCAAAAAGAAAAAAAAGGAATGATGCCTTTGCCAGCAATTTGGTGTTCAGCATTAGAGAGGGTCTTTTGAAACAACTTCACCCTTGCTGGTGAAGTATCACTCTTTACAGGCTTGAGATTTAAAATAAAATAAAACAGTGAGTACATATCTCTCCCAGCCTGCTGAATTGGCCTTGGCGGTGGGGGGGGCGGGGCGCAGTACTTGGTCAATGTTTGATGAGGTCTCGTAGCCTTGGGGATGCATCCTCTGCTAACTCCCTGCCGTAAGAAGGAGGGACACAGATCCCCATAGCCTGTGATGCCTCATTTTTCTCTTCTCTTTTCCTCTTACCCATGCAACCAGTTTCCATGGAGATGTTACTTTTTCTCTCTTTTATGATTGAAAGAATTTGGTTGGTTTGACCCCATGCCATGTCAATTACAGAACGTTCTCTCTACGGTTAACACCATCCTCAGCAAGCCCATGTTGAGTACCTGGAAGGTGTTCCAACAGCAACAGACCAACCAGAGCTCACAGCTCCTGGATTCAGTAGAAAGATTTTCCCGAGCATTACAGTCTGAAGATAGCACTTTTTTGTCTATCAACCAAACGAATGTGCAGATGAGGAGCATGGTAATAAAACCTGGCCCTCCAAAAACCTACAAACAGAACTTTGTTTTCTCGGACTTGGACCTCTGGGGCAATGTGGCCATTGACAAGTGCGAGCTGGGAAGCCTGCAGTGGGGTTCGTCTGTTGTCACTGTCGCTTTCCCAACTCTTAAAACCATCCTCACTCAGGATGGGCAAGAAAAGAACGTTGCAAACAGCTTAGTGATGACGACTACTGTCAGCCACAATATAACCCTGCCATTCCGGATTTCGATGACTTTTAAGAACATCAACCCTTCAGGTGGAGTACCACAGTGTGTCTTCTGGAATTTCAACCTTGCCAACTACACAGGGGGGTGGGATAGTAGTGGGTGTTATGTGAACAGAGTCGATGGGGACAGTGTCTCCTGCATCTGTGACCACCTCACATCGTTCTCCATCCTCATGTCCCCTGACTCTCCATACCCTGGTTCCCTCCTGGAAATACTACTGGATATCATTTCCTACATTGGGTTGTGCTTTTCCATCTTGAGCTTAGCAGCCTGTCTAGTGGTGGAAGCCGTGGTGTGGAAATCAGTAACCAAGAATCGGACTTCCTATATGCGCCACATCTGCATAGTGAACATTGCCGCCTCCCTTCTGGTGGCTGACATCTGGTTCATTGTGGCCGCTGCCATCCACGACCATTTTTACCCTCTCAACGAGACAGCCTGTGTGGCCGCCACCTTCTTCATCCACTTCTTCTACCTCAGCGTCTTTTTCTGGATGCTGACTCTGGGCCTCATGCTCTTCTACCGCCTGGTTTTCATCCTGCATGACACAAGCAAGTCCATTCAGAAGACTATTGCATTTTCTCTTGGCTATGGCTGCCCTCTTGTCATCTCAGTCATCACAGTAGGGGCCACCCAGCCCCAAGAAGTCTACACCAGGAAGAATGCCTGCTGGCTCAACTGGGAGGATACTAAGGCCCTGCTGGCCTTCGTCATCCCAGCGCTGATCATCGTGGTAGTGAACATGACCATCACAGTTGTGGTCATCTCCAAGATCCTGAGACCTTCCATTGGAGACAAGCCAAGCAAGCAGGAGAAGAGTAGCCTGTTTCAGATCAGCAAGAGCATTGGGGTCCTCACGCCACTCTTGGGGCTCACCTGGGGCTTTGGCCTTGCCACTGTGTTCCAAGGAAGCAATGCTGTGTTCCATATTATATTTACACTACTCAATGCCTTTCAGGTAAGTTCTGCAGGGCAGGGTTCTCAGGAAGTATCTGAACTGGTGGGAAAAATTAATGATAGAAACACAAACAGGGGTAGGAATGGGGAAGGATTTTAGTTCAGAGGAGGCCCTAGCCCTAAAGAGGGGGAATTACAAGAACTCAGTGAGATAGAAGGGACACATTCCTCTGCTCCCATGGAACCTCATACCTCTTATCACCTGCATTATAATTTAGCTGCATGCATGAGTCACTTCGAAAGGCCCTGATAATACAAGTAAGAGGAAAGTCCCTTCTCTACACAGGATTTTGCTATTTACCCAACATTATCATGATGCCACTTATTATCTCCTAAATGAAAATACCACTATTAAACCACATCATTTCTCCACTTAATTTCCACAAGCATTAAATGAGCTCTATCTTTGTGAATTCAGGGATAGCATTTGTCTTCTTTACCACTCTATCCCTAATAGTACCTAAAAAAGACTTTGGCACAGAGTAGGTGCTCGATAACCGTCTGGTAAATAAAATGAATGCCATGAACCACATAGTATGTTCTCTAGGAACATTTGCTGAAGAATGAGAGAAAGAATGCCCTACGTAAGGTAGACATTCTGCTCTATTTTACTAAAATGAAAAAGACACACTCATTGTTCTCTTGTAGCACATAACGAACTATAATACAAGCCACATTGTTAGAAGAGCTTTAGCAGAGGTACAGGCAGCAAGGAAGGGAATGCTTAATTCTGATTCAGCCAGCAGGTGGGTGGTAAGCATGGGCTCCCATGAACTGGCAAGGAGGAGAAATTGAGACACGGTCCCAGATGCTCATGCCAAGGCCACACAAATCCTAACTTCTGCTACTGGGTCCATGGCTTCAAACTATAAGGCTCATGCCTAATGAAGTGTATAGCATGACTTGACTACAAGGGACTGATTATTTCACCCCAGGCCCCAGGTTCTCATCACAATGACGTGAGCACTACTGTAGACAGAAAAGGTGCATTCGACAGCTCAACCAGCAGGCCCTCCAGTCCACGAGGAGGCAAGGAGAAGGAAATAGAATAATATCCTTCTCACATGATAACATTTAAGGTCCCCTGGTGTGGACCTACTGCATTCCTTTTAACATTATTATCCCCTGGACTCATTCCATAAATACAGATATGGGAGAGGTAGTACAAATTCAATGCCTGGTTGACAATATTTCTTGGTTTGCTGGGCAATAGAATATGAATAAAATGTCCTTCTTCCCAATTCTTTTTTTCAGGGATTATTCATTTTACTCTTTGGCTGCCTCTGGGATCAGAAGGTAAGAACAATGACAGTTTCATGCTTCTAGAAAAGTCGACAGTGATTGCAGCATATTGAACTTACGATGGCTTCTTTTAAACAATTGTAGGTCCAGGAAGCGTTGCTAAAGAAGTTTTCACTGTCAAGATGGTCTTCGCAGCACTCAAAGGTCAGTGTTCCTTTTGTAGAGATTTTTGAAAACCCCTCTCTCTCCACACCCACGTTCAGCATAGATTATTATTCCACTGTTTTTGCTTTGTACCCGATTCTGCCTATTAAAGTCAGCCACAGAACTTCCATTAAGATGCTGTCCCACATCTTTAAATAGGGATCAGATAGCACAGATAATACCAATTGGAGGCCAAAAACCAAAATTCAAGGGGAAAAAAGAAATCTTCTGGGGAAATTTAAGGCACTAGAGAATACAATGTGAGGAATAATGATGAATAGATCTTCTGTAGTTCATTTTGGAAAATAACTATTGCACTCAAACGTATTTGACTGTCGTCACATGTCAGAAGATACCAAACCCTATTGAACAGTAAAACATGTATTTGAAAGTTATTTTCCTAAATCCGATGTGAATCCAGTGTTTCAAAGTGACTCTCCTACTTGATTTGTTTGAAGTAGAAATTCACGCTCCACCAGGCTCTCACTTTCAAGTGGACTGAGAGATGCAGGCACTGAGTAGAGGGCAGCAAATGTGTCATCCTACAAAAAACAGGACTTTGGTTTAACATTTGCTTTGTAACTTTCTTCTCTTTTTTAGTCAACATCCCTAGGTTCATCAACACCTGTATTTTCTATGAGTTCTCCAATATCAAGAAGATTTAACAATTTGTTTGGTAAAACAGGTACGTAGTGACTTCTAGGTCCCTCCTAGTGCACTTACCTTGGGTTGACTCAAACAGATTTGCCCTGATGGGGGATCTCACACCCCTACCTTCCCACTCCCCCCTTTAAGGCATTTATCAGCAATAGCCTCATTTGGATCAGAGGTCAAATACAGGAGCTTGCTTACATTTTCCCAAGCCACCAGGAGGCTGGTACAGAGGGCAACTGCCTTTGGTGGGCAACTAATAATAACTTAAGGATAAGATTTGGAGAATCTAGACAAGCCTGCAGAGAGCTGTCTATCAAAACTGTATCAACTACAAAAATGAGAACTGTAAATTGCTGGCTTTGTCAAACACAGAGTTCTCTGCTATTCATGTTTGTTTTTTTGGTTTTTTTTTTTTTTTTAGATTTTATTTATTTACTTTTGAGAGAGACAGAGAGAGAGTATACAAGCAGGGAGGGAGCAGCAGGCAGAGGGAGAAGCAGGCTCCCCGCTGCAGGACTCGATCCCAGGACCCTGAGATCATGACCTGAGTCGAAGGCAGACGCTTAACCAACTGAGCCACCCAGGCGCCCTCTTTGCTATTCAAGTTAAATAGGAATAGGAAAGTCATGTTTATGGGTTAAGGTGTAGCAAAAAATAGATTTAGAAAGCTCTACTATAAGATCACATGCTATGGGTTCCCTCCCTTTTTTTTCTTTCCTTTTTCTTTTTCTTTTTCTTTTTTTTTTTGAGTGTGCTTGTGGTGCACATTGATATTTATAAAACTGTGCATATATATAGGAGGAATCACAGAAGTTATCCATTCTATTAGGAACATGCACAGCTAAGTCGCTACCTTGGAGGTATAAAATAAATAATGTTAATGATTTTGGGCAACAGGTCTCAGCTAACCTGGCAAGTTGAAACCTATTCCCACCATCCCTCCACACCCAGGAAAATAAGCACCAGAACTGCTTCCATCTTCTTGACAATGAACAAATCTCACAAAGGCAGAATCTAGAAATGTGTCAATATTCCAGAATAAGGCTTTTCCTATAAAATCAAATTCGGAGAATGCCTATCAGTTGTTAAAACTCCAGAGGACTTGGTGTCTGGGGCTTTGATTTGATGCATTACTCATGAAAGTGGAGGGTCTATCCTTTTGCCTTGGAACGTCCCTGCTTGGGCCTGCTGTGAAATGATCCAACCTTCAGGGTACGGTACCACCATGGCACTTGGCCGGCATGTCACTAGAATGTGCTGACCATTTGCATCCAAGTGAAAACTCTACAAAATGAGTCTACGGAATCAGAATTATGAAATCTAAGGGCAATAAAATGGGTTCTTTGCTTCAGAGTCAGTCCAGTTGAAGATGGAGTTAGGGCTCTGCTCCTGAGGTCCCAAGGCCTGAGATTTCCAGTCACTGCCATTTGACAGCCTCTCGAGGGTTGTTAATGAGGCTCCGTGTTGGCCTGCTTGAGGTCCCATAATCACTGTAACTTTGGTTTATGTTGTCAGCAGCCCCAAAGGGCCCCCCAGGCAGTGATGGAAACCTTGTTAGCAGTGGCAGCTCACCAATCTGATGGTAGGGTGGGCACTGTGTCCTTTCCTTGCCCAGCACTCCGCCCCCACTTGCCCCATGCTCAGTCCCTGCCTCCTGCTGACGCCGGCCCCTGGGGTTGCACCGTGGCTGCCCACCCCCCCCCCCCACCCCGCTGCACCTTTGTTGGCATCCCTTGACCTCTGCTTCTTTCCCGGTCCTGCCTTTTCTTCCCTTGTATTGTACTCCTTTCTTTCCTTTTCCCCCTTTCCTCCCCTCACCTTCCAGCTCAGCCTCTGGGCCCCTCCCAGGAGCTTCCCCCAAGTCACGCCCATCCAAGGGGACCAGGGAGCTTCCCTCACGCCGACGTCCCCAGGCCCGTGCATGTGGTGGCTGCCCGTGTTCACGTTCTCCCTGTCCTATGTAGAAATCCGGCTGCTGGTTTGATGGGAAGTAGTTAGTGCTTGTCTTGTCGGCTGCCACGCATGCTTGAGAACAACGGCTTTGTTTGTTCTCTGGCCCTTCTGGGTCTTGGGAGCGGGGCAGGCATGGGTTTGTTTCCAGGAGTGGCCGAGCTTACCTGGCTCTCAAGGGAGAGCCCCCCTCGGGGCCACATCACGAGAGGGGCACGCCACAGTGATCGTGAGGTCTTGCACGTAAGCCTGAGCTGCTGTTCTGTTTTTCAGGAACGTACAATGTTTCCACCCCAGAAGCAACCAGCTCATCCCTGGAAAACACATCCAGTGCTTACTCCTTGCTGAACTAAGAACAGGAAAAACGACCTATGTGACTTCTTTAAAGGACAGTGGATATGCTCGGAAAAAAAAAATCCTTTCAAAGCCGTGGGTAAAATGTTTTCTCTGCAGGCTTCCTGGAGCAGATGCTGAAGAGCCTCTTTCATTAGGGAAAAGAAGCTTTCTTTCATAAAGACAGACTAAACGTAATTGTTAAGTTTATTTGCTGCCCCAGCCCCCACCTCTTGTGTGATACTAAATGTGTACAGTATTTAAGTGAGACTCAAGTACCCGGAGGCCCAACTTCCCTGTCTACATTGTAAAATAGAATTTCAAAGAGACATTTTTACTTTTCACACGTTGGGCACAAAAATAAGCTTTGATTAACATAATAAGCACAAGGCTAGTACCCAGGAAATACTTCAGTGAACTCTCAGAAGGAAGGACACAGGAAAAAAAAATATAGAGAAAAACAATTAAGAACCACATTTTAAAAATTTCCATGTTAACATAATTATTCTGATACTGCAACATGGAGAATATAAAAATGGCTCAAAAACAGAAACTGAAATAAATCATGGAGAAAGTTTGGTATTTTCTTGGTATTTTCTTAGCTACAAGAGAACATTTTTTTAGAAAGGCAGTGGGAAGAGATTGGGAGGAAATTGTAACATCAGGATGCTTTCAAGTGGATAATAATATTTACAAGAAATTCATGGAAGGAGATATAATTCTCCTGATGCTAAACACACACACACATGCTGGTGCACGTGAAGTTTTGAGCTCAGGGGAGGGAGCAGGCAGAGGAAATGGGATAGCCGTGCTTTATCAGATCTAAGCAGATCCAACTGCTAGTTACATTTTTTACCGTTTATCAGAAAAGCCTTATCTTTTGGTATGTTCCACTTTTTGAAGGCAAAAAAAATATATTTTTTTATATGCACCACTTGCCAAATGTGACATAAGGTGATATGAATGTGATATATTGTACTGGAAACAGATCCCGACTGTCGTGTATTATATTTAACAGCTTTAACCAGGTACTTCCCTGTGCATCATAGAATAGATTTTCATAATCTTATGGCGTTATTTATCACTGTTGTTGCTACTGTGGATTTAGTGGCCCTTGGTGTGTGGTCTAGCTCCCTATGTATTAGCTCTTTCAGTCCCTAAGTTCCAAGACCAATATACGGTAAGAGTTTTGTATTGTCTAATTTGTGTTTATTCCAACCACTCGGAAATCCTCTGAAATGAAATGTTACAGTTGGCTACTCTATGCTCCCAATAACACTTGACCTTGATGAGCAGATGGTGGAGCTTTCCCCGAGGATTTGGTTCTCTGTGAATTATGTGCATATGTGTGTGTGTGTGCATTTCATAAAAATACAAATATTTATTAAAATTGCATCCATATTAAAGTTAAGCATGTGCTGTAGCCACAGCAACCATACATTCCAAATTGAAGTCTGATCCCAGAGACACAGTGAAACGGAATAAAAATGTGGGGCTACTTGAGGAATGTGGGCCGTGGGGTCTTCGTAAGGACTGAGAACCAGCAAGGATCCAACCATCAGGAAGGTGGGACAGACGAGGCTGCGATGTAGCAACCTTTTATTTATTGAGTTTCGAAAGAGTTTTCTTTCACTATTTTAACTCTTTAACCTCTCTTTTTTTCATTTTTTATTTTCAAATTCTACTCCTGCCTCTCTTTTCTTCAGGGGGAGAAACGGGTGGGGCAGATAGAAGTCCTAGTAGTGTTTCAAGTAAATGCGCTCTTCGTTTCTACCCGTTCACAGACAACGTAGACATCTACTCCCACGCTTGCCAGGAAATTGTCACAAAGGAAATGATTAAGCTATAAAATTCTCCAAGGATGGTCAGCTTTGGGCAGAACTCAGTACCGAGGAGACAGAGCCAGAGGCTAGGTTGGAGGATAAATGGGATGAGAATTAGAGGTTCGAGAGAGAACGGCTTTGACAAATCTGATTCCTGGAATAATCTCAGGGACAACAGAGGCGAGGTTACACAGTACAATGTGTGAGCCTGGCCAGGGTGACATGATGGGCCAAAGAAAGCATAGCACCCAGCAGGGGCTCCAAACCAACAATGGGACAAGGAACACTGAACTTCCAGCCACAACAGTAGGGGTCCTTTGGGAATCATTGTGCTGTGAAGGCAACCTCTCTAATGGCAGGAACCTTCGCAGCATTCATAGGATGTGGATTTGGCCCTTTGCCCTCGTGCATTAACTAAGGCACGTTCCCTTACCCCCAGCACACACACATGCACACATATGTGTGCACGTGCTTTCTAGCTTTCAAGCCACAACACCAGATCCAAATTCCAGAAAGCCTATGAAAACAAAAACTTAGAGACATACTTGCTGGTGTTCTGCTCAACTGCAAGGTACATAGTTCAACCACTGCTGTTGGCCAAGAATATCTTAAAATAAAAAATAGAATTCAATATTGTAAAAGAGAGTGGTCCGTGAATCTGTGAACTCCGTGAAAGCAGGAACCCTGCCTGGTCCTGTGTTCACTAGTTCTCAATCAACAATGATTGCAAGGCAATCCCCCTTCTGAGGAAAAGGAGGAAGGAATGTCAGCTCTGATGTTGGTACAAAGTGACATGTGTGGTCTGCCCTGCTTGCAAAGTGCCCAGGGCTTCCCCATGTGCCTGACCTCTCAGTGGGTAAAGTCAGTTCCATGGGCCAAAACTTAACTTGCATTAAAGGACTTCTATTAAGTCAGTTTCTTGCAAAGGGATCTGTGCTAATGCTTCAGAGCTTGTGAGGTGAGAGCATTCACAAAGGAGCAATTAATCTAAGCTACAGAAATATTCTCTGGGAATACTGTTAAGTCCAGTGTAACACACCATGTCCTGAAGGAGTTGCGTCTGCCACCCTCCTCCCCATTTCTTATATATGGAGAAAGAGGTAAATAAAGACCCACGGGGTTTTCAGGATACAAGCTGCTAAGGCCAGAAATTAAGAAACACTAGGAAATCCTAGCCTTTTGTAGTTTGTTTAGAGAACTTCAGAGAGATCAGTGTTGGAAGGTCAAAAAAAAAAAAAAAAAAGTGGCATGGGGATGAGAAAGATCATAGCGACCAGGAAGTGCAGACGCAGGGGAGGGAGTTATCTGGGGTGAGAGGAGCAGAAAGTCACAACCACTGGGGAAGACAAAAGGAAACAAGTATGGTCCCAGAAATCCAGTGTAGATGGAATGCATTTGATTTGTGGCACGTGAAGGGGATATCAGACAGAATCCCAAAGGGAGCCGTGACCCAGGCCAATGGAAGTCTGATTCCTTGAGTGTCCAAAATAAAGGAGGGGCTTACAGTGGATGTTATCTTTCTTAGGTATTTTTTAATTTTTTTTTTATTTTTTAATTTTTATTTTTTTTATTCATGAGAGTCAGAGAGTAAGAGAGAGAGAGAGGCAGAGGCAGAGGAAGAGGGAGAAGCAGGCTCCCCGCTTAGCAGGGAGCCCGATGTGGGACTCGATCCCAGGACCCCGGGATCATGACCTGAGCCGAAGGCAGACGCTTAACCATCTGAGCCACCCAGGTGCCCTCTTAGGTGTTTTTTAAAAAGTCAATGAAAATAGTGTCTCATCATTTGAAAGACGTTAGCTTTGGAATGAGATGCTATAGGTTTCTAACAGTATGACTTGGGATATTAAATCATGTCGCAAGAGTACGCCAGCATACAGCTCTGCGTCCTGTCCATGCTTATAACAATAAAATACCTAGCGAGATCTCATGAAGCTTTCTTTATATAAATTGTCTGCTCTTTTGTAAATAGGCCAGCACTGCTCTTTTAGGCTTCCTGACCCGAAATCCAACCAGCATTTAACACCCTTCCCCTCACAGCGAATGGTGGCTTCTGTTCTCCAGGTGTGGTGGGGGGCGGGGGCACCAGAAGCTCCCGGCTGAGCTCAGTTGGCTGAGGGCACTGATGCCTTTCCTCGCACCATCCACACTCCCATGCAGCATGTGAAGCCTGGAAGCTTACAGAGGGTTGAAACGAGGGACCTTGAAGCAATGCTTTCAGGACCTAACTGTCTGGGAAACAAATAAACAAGTATCTTTTCTAACATTTGTGTGTGGCTTGGTTGGAATTTTCACGGACGGCTGAAAACAGAGCCCTGTGAGTTCTGTTAGCAACAGATTATTTCTGCAACGTGGGCCCATATTTCCTGTTTTCATATTCTATAGCTGAGTAACATGTTATCACAAACTTAGAGGCTTAACACTGCACCCACTTATGAGCGCATGGTTTCTGGGGTCAGAAATCTGGGCATGGCTTCACTGGGTCCTCTGCTCAGGGTCTGGCCAGGTGGAACTCAGGCTAGCAGCTGTGGATTCATCTGAAAGCTGAGCTCCCCCTCCGTGCTTATTGGTTGTCGGGCAGAATTCTATTCTTTGTAGGTATAGGACAGAGGCCCTCATTACCTAGAGGTGTCCTGCCATCCCCTGCCGTGTGACCTTTTCTACAATGTGGTCCTTTGCTTTTTTAAAGTCAGCAGGAGAAATTCCGTGCTGCTTTGAATCTCTGACTTCTTCAGTTTCTGATCCTAGACCCTCTTGTAAAGGACTCACCTGATTAGGTCAGGCCCATCCAGGATAATCACCCTTGTGATGAACTCGAAGCCAGGTGATTAGGGGCCTTGATTACATCAGCAGATTGTGATGTAAGGTGAAGACCTTGGCCATATAATATATTCTACTCCCGGCAGTGATGTATTTACAGATCCTGCCCACAGTTAATGGGAGAGGATTATACAGGCTATTGCATCAGATTGTTTAAACAAACAACATTAAGGACGCAGCGCTGCTCTGTAGATTGTGTCTGAGGCATTCGCTGTGGCTTTGTGGCCTGTAAACATTTCTTTATCCACAGCACTAATCACACTGAAAAGGGGCTCTCCGGCAGTACCACGGATAAAGCTCGCGTGGTGCAACTAATGTAGCGTTACCTCTGTCTAGTGACTATGCAAATGTGAAAGAAGTCACCTTTCCCGAGGGGATGGCTTCCAGCTCTGTGGGGCTTCGGGGAAAGGGTGCTATTTGGCAAGGCCTGATGTGTCCAGATGAAAAGAGGCTCACCAACGCCAGGGCCCACAACCTTCCCCAGCGTGGTGAGTGTCTGGGGTGCGGGTAGAGGGAGTCCAGGAGCTGATGTTCCCTTGACGCTGGGGCCAACGGATCAGAGACCTAAGCAGACAGGTGCCAGCCAGTCTTCCACACGTTTGTACCCCTGACCGTCGGGTCCTTAAAAATAAAGTCAATATGCTCCTCCTATGCTGGGCACTTCTCATCCTTTAAGCGTTCCCGTGAAATGTTGCAGTCTGCAGCCTGCAGCCCGCAGGTCACGCCCGGGGCTGGGAACAGCTCCTCCTCGACAGACCCACACACCCTTCGAATGCTCGCCTGGGTCACAGGAGCCTGTCTGGACTTTTCTGCTCTTTTGCACCGATTTTTTTCCCCCCTTTGTAAGATAACACATACATCATTCAGAAGGAAGAGGTTTATTTTTGTATTTTGAAGACATTCCCTCCTGGCTTTATAAAGTTTATACTTTCTTCATATAAACAGGAAGAAAAGAGTGCTTCCCATGAACACTTTATGTTAACACGAAGGCAGCTTTCTTTGAACTATTTGGTAACGCTGTGTAAGCTGCATGGTCTAGAGGAATGAGAATGTGAGTCCCGTGCTTTTAAATTTTGAGGTAGCCACATTAGAAAAAAAGTAAATCAGTAAAACTAATTGCAGTAACACTTCTATGTAACCAAGTTTATCCAAAATATTAACATTTCCAGATGTAATTAATGTAAACTTATTAATGAGACATCGTACACTCCTTTCCTTTTTCTTTGTCCTAAGTGTTGGAATTCCTGTGTGTATTTTATGCTAACCAAACACCTCCGTTGTCCAGCCACATTTCAAGTGTTCAATAGCCACACGTATCTAGAGATTTTATTTATTTATTTGACAGAGAGAGACAGAGCGAGAGAGGGAACACAAGCAGGGGGAGTGGCAGAGGGAGAAGCAGGCTTCCCACTGAGCAGGGAGCCCGATGTGGGGCTCGATCCCAGGACCCTGGGATCATGACCTGAGCCGAAGGCAGACGCTTAACGAGTGAGCCCCCCAGGCGCCCCTGCACAACAGAGATTTAGAGTATCAACCAGTGACAAATGCTTTCTGCCATTCTGCCTTCTGTATACTGACAGCAGGGTAGGAGAATGAATTTAAAACAAGGTCTGTACCACATCATCCTCGCTGGTCTGTGCAGAGACCCTACATATACTGGGGGGCAGGGGGGCAGGGGTAGAAATCCATAAGGCCACAAATACCTCTCTTCCATATGACTCCTGCCACCCTAAGCAGGCTTGAAAGCCACAGTGTTCAAAATTCTCCTCTGAGATTTCTGACAAGCATGGGGCATTTGCCCCCGCAAATCACAGTTCCACATCTTCCCCAGGAAGGAGGAAGTGTCTGGAATCACCATCAGCCTTCTTTCTTGGAGAATGAGCTTGCGGTCTCAGCAGTGCGGTATGGCGGAAAGAACATGGCTCCTGCCTGGAACAGAAAGATACTTTCCCTCACTCACCTGAGCCTTTCCCCACACCTCTCTGGTCTTTGCTTTGCTCACCTAAAAAATAGAGATCATTCAAATTCCCACTCAAGGCTGTTGTCAGGCTCAAAAAGCACAGTTTACACAAACGGGTTTTGTAAACTGTCAAGTATTATGCAAACAAAAGATTATTTCCAATATCTCTTTGAAAGGCAGATAGATGCTGACCACAGAAAGCCGTCAGGGGCATTAAGCTCTGGTGACCCCAGTGGGATTCCTGGGCATCGAGGGGGTCATCAGGAGGACACTGGATCAGGAAGGGGAGGACACAGTTCGTCAGGCACCTATGAGGAAATGAGGCAGTCCTAAACAACTTACCGACTCTGCAGATTTCCTTCAAGCCCATCTTGTGTGTAACAACATGACTTTTCTTACAGGACCCCAAAGCCCATCTGCAGACATGCCTCCACACAGACCCGCTGCACTTCCTGCAAGAGTCCAACCGTTTTCTTTGCCTCAGAATCTGGGTCACAGGTCAGGACTCAGCCCCTTGCACACACAGCCCAGAGGGGGCATAGGGGACCCCCGCTGTCCCATGAGTATAGGGAGGACTGACAGAGGCCCAGGCCTGTCCCACAACCCCAGGGGCTATTCAGAAGCCCTCCAGGATGGGGGTGCCCCTGCGGATCAACTTCCAGCTGCAATGACTTCTGGGCCCTTTGAGCCCCAGCCTGGAGATCAGATGGTCCTGGAGGATGACAATTTGGGAAGCAGGAAAGTTTTGCAAGTGTGATTAAAGGGTTCCCCGGGGAGGCCTGCTCTGAGGAAGGCTTTCCCGGCATCAAATGGGTCCACGTGGCAGAGTGCCAGGTGCCCCTTTCTTCCAGGGCAGGCAGCCAGCAGCAGCGTCCGACTACAGCTCTGCCCCTGTGGACACTCATAGCGGCAGGTGCCAAGCAGCGGGCTTTGAGAGAATGGAACCGGCTCCCTGGGCCAGGCCTGTGAGGTATCCACCCCTTTTCTCTGTTCCCATCAGTGATTCTGCAGGGTGGGGCAGTCAGAAAGCACCTGATAAGTTCCCATTTACCAACCTCAGGGGTTAGGGTTCTATCCACTCGACGCCCTGCCCCCCCCACACACACCATCTTTCCTTACGTCTTGCATAGATGGATACCTAAGTTTATCCTCTAGCACATTCTAGAGAGGAAACCAATTCTCCTAAGTTTTCTGCGCTCAGTGACTATAAGCAGACAGAACAAGAGGGGAGACATGAGGGGCACAATCCCAGAAGCCTGCCCTGTGCCAGACCCCCCGTTCTTTCTCTCCGAATACCATTTTCCTGTGGGGCCCACGATTCAGCTAAAGTCATCTTCCTGTTTTCCAGACACCCATTCTTAACCTTTTCCCTTTAAACTTTGAGACGAGGAGTCACAAGGCCCCCCGCGTTCCCTCTGCACAAAAGGGCAGCGGGTCGGGGAGACGTGCGACCGTGCAAGGCCCGCGGTCTCCCTTCTTTCATGCAGAGCCAAGTCCCAACGAGGTTTGCCGGCGACCGCTACAAACGAAACAGAACCAACCCAGGAGCCCAGGGGGGGAAAGGGCGTTTTCTCAGCATGAAAAGCAACAGGAACTATTTGGGCAAGTCATGGGAAGACGGCTGTTAGAGCCCACTTCCCTCGCTCGGCAGCACGATCCAGGAGCCTCTGCGGGCCCTGCCTTCTTGGAAGCCACTGTAATTGGTACCATCCTGCATCCTCCCTCCTGCCCCCCAGCCTCCGCCCCCGGGCTGCAGTGGGACGAGGTGTCTGATTTGGATTCACCGGGGAAGAATCGCACATCCACTCACTGTTTTTCTGGAGCAGCGAGCGGTTCCCAGGCCCCGAGGAGCTCTCTCACAGCTGTCCCAGTCAAAGCGGAAGCGACAGGAGTCTCCAGCTGGGCCACTGAGTGACAGCTAGCGGGGGCGCGGGGCTTCCCTCGCCGGGCCCGCCGGCTTCTCCTGAGGCTCGATCGCCACCTTGTGGTCATCGGAGGGAGCGCCGCCTCTGGGTCCCACGTCCAAGGCGGCCCAGCACTCAGGCCGCTGATGTGCCTGGTGGGCGAGGTGCAGGGAAGTAATTTGGTGCGAAGGTGGGCTCGAGGCCTACTAGATGACAGAGACCAGGAATGCAAGAATCACCCTCACTCCCTGCCTCCTGACACTTTTTACGCTATGGTCCTTGCAGGGCCAGTGGTATTGCTCTTCCACTTACCGGAGGTCTATCAAGTGTTCTCAGAGTGTTGGTTGTCATTTAAACACACACGAGAAAAGTAGGATTTCTCCGCAACGAAGTACGTGTCTAACGTAGTGTTTAAACACAAGTGAAGAACTGGAACATTCGTCCTACTACGCTTGGCTACGTGGTAATTGCCCTGGTGACGTGCAGCCTGAAAAGCCAGAAAGCTTTGAGGAGGTATGGGGAGAGCGGACATTTTAGCCACACGGTTCAAGTGTGCATGATGGATTTGCAGGCAGGTGTACACTTCTGAGATATACTTGCCAGGATAGCTCCCTCCTTCTGTTTCTTTCCTCTCTTACTGACCGAATCTTATTTACAGATCCAGAGGCAAAGCTAAAGGCAGCCCCCCCACCCCTGGCCCCAAATCACCAGGTTTCCCCATTCCAGACGGGAGTCTGGAAGGTAGTTTGAGGAAGCAAAATGGGTGCCTTCCGTGTGTCATAGGGCCTTAAACACTTTCTCCATCAATGCACCTTCCAAAGGATGAACTAGGATGGACCCCTTCCTTAGGATGGGAAACTATTACTGCCAAGCTGGGTTTTCATTTTCAATCCACGCTGAACCCGCAGCTGTCCCAGGGCTGTCTGACACACCAGCCCACCCTGAGGTCAGCTGGGAAGTTTCTAGTCGAGGCTCTGGATACGCACTCAAGAGGAGGCTGCTGGCTTTGCTAGCCAAAATGTGATCCAAGAAGACCCAGTAGAAGTAAACAGTACCCACAGCCAAGAAAGGCTGATCCTTGGGGCAGAGGGACATGCTGACCTGCCTTGTGTCATGGGCAGACAGCTTCTGAACGTGCGAGAATATCATATGCTTTGGGATACCCCTCCTCCCCTCCCCTCCCCTCCCAAAGAATAGCTCTGTCACCTTCTCCCTTATATTGGACATCCATTCTAACAGAAAACCAAATCTCAAGGAGAGAGGAGGTTTACTATGCAAAAACTTCTGGGAGAGAGGTGCACAGCAAATGAAATAAAAATTTACCCTCCAGTGAAAATGGCTGATAACAATGTAACTAGGCCAACATTAACTGAGCTCTTTACCATGTGTTTGGTGCCTGTCCTAAGCTCTTCATGCATATAATCTCATTTAAGCCTTACAGCAACCCCGGGTTAAGTAGATGTTCTTTTTTATTTTACAGATGAGTAAACTAAGCACAGAGAAGTTAATAACTTGCTGAGGGTCACACAGCTCAGGAATGGTAGAGCCAGGTGCTGAAAGCAGACGGTCTCACCTGGCATGTGTGCATGTCCACACCTCACTCTGTTGCTCCTTCATGCAGTCTGATGCACGTATCGTCTGATGGGGGGGGCAGTTCTGAGTACACAGATTGAGCGAGGGAGACACAGTGATGGGAAGAGTGGAGAAGGTAAAGCATCTCAGTGTCACTTTATGATTTCACATAGGGGCAGTCCAGAACACAATGGCCGGTGGTCTGGGCATTCTTGGGGGTTGGTCCACTTCCCTCTTCCATATCTGATGGAGCATGAAAGGACTCCCACTGTGTTGCTTTAGTGAAAGTAGACCTCACATTAGCCCCCTACTTGATCCCCAAATGGAGCAGCCTGAGTGCACCTGCCATTTTAATCTTTCCTCTTCATTCAAATGAGTTTCCACGAGGTCCCCATCGCCAGTGGTATTACTCTTCCACTTGCCGGAGGTCTATCAAGCGTTCTCAGAGTGTTGGATGTCATTTAAACACACACGAGAAAAGTAGGATTTCTCCGCAACAAAGTACATGTCTAACGTGGTGTTTATTTTATTTATTTATTTTTTAAGATTTTATTTATTTATTTGACAGAGAGAGAGACAGCGAGAGAGGGAACACAAGCAGGCGGAGTGGGAGAGGGAGAAGCAGGCTTCCCGCCGAGCAGGGAGCCCGATGTGGGGCTCGATCCCAGGACCCTGAGATCATGACCTGAGCTGAAGGCAGTCGCTTAACCAACTGAGCCACCCAGGCGCCCCTAACGTGGTGTTTAAACACAAGTGAAGAACTGGAACATTCGTCCTACTACGCTTGGCTCCGTGGTGATTGCCCTGGTGACGTGCAGCCTGATGCAGCAGCTGATCTGCTAAGTGAATTATCTGGATGCTCTGCTTCATTCTGCATGGGTGAGAGCATCGCGCTGTCTTCAACACTGATTGACAGCCAGTTTAGGGAGCAAAGAGGGGTGATCCCACTTTTCTACTCTCCTTTTACTCTCTTGACCAGACAGAAATCTTTAACATGTTACTGATGATTTCCATTGAGCTGTTGCATCACACTTGGGTAAAACTGTCGTAAATCTGTCTAGGCCTGAGGGACTCTGTGCCACGCAGAGCCACGTCTCAGTCCGTGCTGGGGTTGCAGAACCAGCTCCAGGCCAAATTGTGAAAGGTGGAGAGAGATGGGTCTTGTCTTCACTATCTTGTCCCACCTGACCTTTTGATCTGTCTCCTACATACACTAATGTGCATGTACGTGTGCGAGCCCCCCCCCCACACACATACACACACGCACAGGAACCCTGTTGGGCTGCTTTACCCATGTCAAATCTCTTCTTTCATTTCTTTTTTTATCTTTATTTTTATTAAAAATCAATTAACATACAGTGTATCATGAGTTTCAGATGTAGAGGTCAGTGATTCATCAGTTGCATATAACACCCAGTGCTCATTACACCACGTGCCCTCCTTAATGCCCATCACCCAGTTACCCCTCCCATCGCCCCCTCCCCTCCAGCAACCCTCAGTTTGTTTCCTATGATTAAGAATCTTATGGTTTGCCTCCCTCTCTGATTTCATCTTATTTTATTTTTCCTTCCCTTCCCCTATGTTCACCTGTTTTGTTTCTTCAATTCCATATATGAATGAAATCATATGAGATCTCTCTTTCTCTGACTGACTTATTTCACTTAGCATAATACCCTCTAGTTCATCCACATCATTGCAAATGGTAAGATTTCATTCTTTTTGATGACTGAGTAATATTCCGTCATGTGTATATACCACATCTTCTTTATCCATTCATCTGTCGATGGACATCTGGGCTCTTTCCATAGTTCGGCCATTGTGGACATTGCTGCTATAAACATTGGGGTGCACATGTCCCTTCGAATCACTGTGTATCTTTTGGATAAATACCTAACAGTACAATTTCTGGATGGTAGGGTAGTTCTAATTTTAACTTTTTGAGAAACCTCCATACTGTTTTCCAGAGTGGCTGCACCAGCTTGCCTTCCCACCAACAGTGTAGGAGGGTTCCCCTTTCTCCACATCCTCACCAACATCTGTCATTTCCTGACTTGTTGATTTTCACCATTCTAACCGGTGTGAGGTGGTGTCTCATTGTGGTTCTGATCTGTATTTCCTTGTCTTCTGTCATTTCTTCCATATCAGTATTCATTAGAGATTGCTACCATCCCACCCCACTGTCTCCCATCCCCTACCCATTAGGGTTTGTGATAGTTCACTAAACAGTACTCATAGTTAAACACAATACCTATCCTTGAAAATTAATTTTGCTTGAAGATTTTGGAAAAATATATTATGTTTATATAACTAACATAGGAAAGCTCTTTTAGCCATAGTTGTAAATACACGGAAATGTGAGTTGGTGACTAATTAGACATCAAATGATATTTGTAATAAAGAAAACCAAGCAAAAAAGATCTTCACATCATGTTAGATGTTGATTAGCTTACACTGCATATCCCTTCCACCCCCCAGGCCACTCACTGGTCTTATTAAGCTTCCCTGGTAGCCAAAAGGGGACAATAGATTCTCCTATTAAATGGACCTTTGACCTGGCTGCAGCATTCATTCTCTCTAGAATCTGCTCACTTTACTCAAATATCTGAGTAGAACCTCAGGATCCCTAGATTTCCCTCAAGCCATAAAAATGGAAGACATAATTCATCAGAAAGGAGGAGCTCGAGAAGAGAAGGTGTTTGGCTATAATTTACTTGCAGAGATACATCAATATCATATTACAATGGACACAGTATTCAGGTCCACTATAATCCAGAGCTAGAGGAGGTTAGATGCTTGTCAAAGTACTCTGCAACATTCCCACAGTCATTAGCACTGAGGGGCAAAAGTCTGTGCTGCAGAAATATCCAAAGCAAAAACTTTTCAATATTGCTATCCCAAACCACACCAGAGGGTTTTCATTAGTTTAGAGGATGCTAGAAGTCATCTTTGCATTAGTACACTGGAATTATCAAACAGCTATAGGTACAAAACACTGGCAGGCCCAGTGAGCTAACTTTGGAGGAGAAAGCTTAGATTACAATTCAGTTTGATTCTGATCTCCCTCACTTGCTAGAATATTCCACTGGTTGATCCGGTTGGGCCAGTGGTTCTCAACCAGGATGACTTTGGCCCCCGAGGGACATTTGGCAACATCTAGAGACATTTTTAGTTTTTGTAACCAGGGAGGTGGCTCTGCTGGTGTCTAGTGAGGCAGAGGCCAGGATGCTGCTAACATCCTATAGGACACAGCACAACACCCACGACAAGGAATATCTAGTTCAAAATGTCAGTAGTGCCCAGGTTGAGAGAGTGCCCAGGTTGTGTTCCTGGCCTTCAGATTATTTGTTTGCACATGCCTTGGGTGAACCTTTAATCCAAGATGTTTGTTGGAAAGCAAAATCACAGAGCAGAGACTTTATTACATTTACAAAATAGGTTAG